AGTCCTGACCTGTGGCTCGTGGCGGGACATTGCTTGGTCTGGGACCCTGTTCATGTTGAGCTCTTGGTTCTGTGTGCAGTGGAGGCTCTGCGGTTCGCTGATGGACACTGATGTTGGACGAGCTCCTCTCGAGACCCAGAGCAGCAGGAGCAGCAGGAGGAGGCCACATCTTCATCACCTCTTCAACAGCCTGACTGCCTGACTCCACAAAACACACATGCATTATGAGCCTGATCAAAACCACAAGATATATACGATATAGCGGAGTTTACATAGTGCGATTGCAACAGCCAGCGCTCTGAATATATATTCATTAGTCTCCATCCACAGTCTGTACCTGAACTGCTGCCACCTGTTTTACTGAGAGAGGCTTTCGGTGGCCAGCAAACCAGCCGGTCCTCTTTATTGTGTTGTGTCTGCATTTCCTCCTCCTGCACGTCTCCTGATGGCCGGACCAGAGACGACACTGCAAACACAAGCAGCACAATTACAGCCGAACCGCCACATCACAAAAACTGACCCAAATAGGTCTCGCTGTACAGTGGTTATTAAAGTGTGTGGCTGATGTGCAGCTGAGCAGAGACAGCTCTTCCCTTCGCCCTGGCAACAGCTGTGCTTTCATGTCAGCGAACAAACCCCCATTAGCATATGTGCACTATGCTTGTGTGCGTGTGAGCGATGAAATGAGGGCGAGCGGCACAGATTAAACTGGAGGAGAAATCAAAGGGATCAAATGCAGCTGTGCAGGCGACGCGTTCAGAGCTCTGTGAGCGAGAGCAGCTGAACTCACTGTCTGTCCCTTACCGTCGCCTCAGTTCAGACACGTGAAGAGAGATGCTTACCGATGGTTTCTGCTTTTACTTCCACCGGCGCCGGCACCTCCCATGGTTCCTCATTTGCAGGGAGTTCTCGAGTGTTTTCTCTGTCCAGAAACCTCTTTAAATCAGCTCGGTTCTGAGTTACAGCAAGACAAGTCACATAACATCATGTGATGGAAGCATTTCATTGTGTTGTAATTGAATGTAAATTAATGAAGGTTGCAAAATTGTGAATCACAATAATTTTGAGATTAAAATGCCAACTACTTAATGTCAGTCACAATAAGGTTTTCTTTACCTACACACACACATTTTTTTTAATATATATTTATATATATATATATATATATATACAAGGGAGTAACTTTGGTTTGAGAAGTGGGGGGGACACAAAATGAGGGAAAATGTTTTCGATTTGAATCCCATTTCCTGCATGTACATACATTTAGGGACTATG